TATTATAAAAATTTATTAATGAAAAATAAAATTTTGGTTTATTAAAAAGAAAATTTTAAGATTACTCTTTATAATGAACACTTAGAATATTTGAAAGACTAAATATCTAGAATAACTTATAATTTGATCCTCTTAAAGAAATTAGTAATAATTTTTAAGTCATTTCAATTTTATCTAATATTATTATTCTTATTCTTAATTTGTTTAAAGATATAAAATAATTTTTAATATATCATTTAAAAATGTAAATTATTTAAATGAATAAATTATTGATCATTATGTTTAAGAATAATAGTAATATGTTGCAAAAAAGTTATTCTAATTATTTCATTCTTAATGCTAAATAATAATTATTGGCTAATGCTCTTTTTAAATTAATTTTAAAAATAATAAAGGTTGTCCTAAAAAGAAAAAAGGATTTACTTAAAATAATAAAATAAACAAAATGAATACTCTTTACTAGCTGCTATAAATTTTAATCAAATATAAGATTATTAAATTTACTATGGAGGTTTTTAACAAGTTAGGATTTCAGCAGTTTTATAGTAGATTTGAATAAAAATAAAACTAAAAAAATTAAAAGAATCAAAACTAGTATTTTTTATGGAAAATGATTAGATTCATAAAGATAATTATAATATTTAAAAATTATATTAATATAATAAAAAATGCTCCATATACACCTAAAGCAAATCTTATAGAACTTTTATTTAATAAATTGAAGCTATTATATAAATAAAAAGAAAAGAATAATGAATATGATTTAATTGCAAAAATTGTATATGCATACATACAATATAAAAAAAAAAAATTGATAAAAAGATAGAATTTTCATTAAATTTTTTAGAAAAAAAATATAAAATGAAATATTATAAAATGTAAAAAAAGAAAAATTTAAATAAAATTAAATAAAACTAAATTAAAAAAAAAAAAAAAATAAAAATAAAAAAAATATAATAGAATAAAAATATATATATTTATATAAAAATAAAAAAATTAATATAAATATATATATATATATATATATATATTTATATTTTTTTATTTATTTATCGTATTTGTTTATATACTTCTTTAAAAATAACAAAGAAATTTAAAGTTTATATAATAATACAATTTCATTAGTATATATTTACATATATTAATAAACAATTTTTATTGATAATTGAATTATTAAGTATTTATTAATTTTTTTAATATATTGTTTACTTTAGTTTTTTTATATAAATTTAAAAGTATTTTTTATATGATATATTAAAATTTATATTATATTTAAAATGTTTTTATTTAATTATTTATTTATTTTATATATTTTAAATAAAAATTATTAAATAAATTTATAATATTTTTTTTTATTTTTAAAAATAATTTATTTTCATTATTATTATTTGTTATCTTTTATAATATCTCCAACAATACTTTTCACTTAACTAATCTATTAATCAAATTATTATTATATTTCTTTTATTTTTTTTTAATTAGTTATTATAACTAGATATGCACTACCACAAATAACTAAACCTAGTAAAATATAAAGTTGCATATAATGAAACAATTTATAATTAAATAAATTTTTATATTTTTTTATTTAAATTTTCCATAATAATACTTACAATTTATCATATTTTAAATATTAATTTTTAAAATAAGACTATCTTATTTAAATGCTTTAGTTCATAAATATGATTTTGTTATTATTAATATTTGCTAAATCCTTTAAGTTCTAGTCTGTTATATTATTTATATACTTTAAATCATTTTTTTAAAATTATTTTATTTTTCGGTCTAAAAGAAAAGCAAATTATCTATAATAATCTGCAATTAATTATTATTATAAGTATTCGCTATTATTTACATTACCAATCCATGTTTCCATTTATTTATTAAATTAATTAAGGTCTGTTTTTTAGTTTTCTAATTAATTTAATACTCTGTTGGAATAAGGTTCATTGATTTTAAATTTAAAAAAATGCATTTTTTGTTAATTTTGTAAACTTAATGAATATAATATTTTACTTCGGAACATATTTTTTTTTATATTATTTGATATTATAAATAAAAGTATAAATTTAATTAAATAAAATAAATCTATATATTTGCATATTATTGATATATTTTAATTTTTAAGAAAAAAATAAAATATATTCTTCTTTTTGATTATTTTTACTCTAAATTTATTATTTTTTTTATGATAATAAAATTAATAAAAAAATTAAAACAATAAAAAAACTCATCCTTTTTCTAAAATTTATTTAACATTAAACGCATTCATTGCTTATTTTTCAGCAACCATATTTTTAATTTTTTAAGGAATGTCTCCTTTAAGATCAACATTAGTAATATAAATACAATTAGTACTTTGTTCATTTATTTATTATAAAACCCAACCACCAAAAGCAACTTCTCCTCTAATAACTCCTTTTTATTCAGGAACTCTATCATCTAAAATAGAAGTAACTAATAAATAATAAACATTATTACAAATTTACTTATTAAGAAGTATGACAAAATCTCGACCTCCAACAACTAAAACTCTTTTAAAAATATTATGTTCGATACTAGTTTAATCATCTATTTTTTAAATTTATTTTCCTTATTTAAATTATTTATCCCATTAAGCTCTATTTGCAGGATTCGTTATATAATTTAATATTTCCTAAACTGATTTTTATATTGTAAATTCGCCTCTTGATATTATATTTTCTGTTTTTTCATCTTTTTTCACATTAATTGAATATGCATTATCTTTATGTAATTATTTCCAGCCTTCTCCTTCTAAGTTTACAGCTTTTTAAATATTCTCTAAAGTTTTGTTTGTTAATTTTTAATAATTATTTATATTTGACTATTTTTCTAACTGAATTTCTTAATTTTATTACTTATCACTTATATTACTTGAAAAGCTAACATTCTTACAACTTTTTGTACTTTCTGGTAAAAAATTATCCGATTTAAAAAAAGAATTTTCTTTAATATTTTGTTAATTACTATTCTAAATATTAATTTAAAAATTAATATTTACATTAAAATTTTATATTTTAAGAATTAATTACATTTTTCGAATTCATAGTATTATCATTTTTTGTATTAAATTCACTATTTATGTTCTTTCCTATATCATTATTTCTTTAATTAATACTTTATTTATAAAATTCATTTTCTTTGTTACTTTATTATTATTGACTTTTGCGATTTTGTTCTTTAGATTGATTATTATCTTCATGTGTTTTATTTAGATTTTTATAATATTCAAATAGTAAACTATTAGGGTTTTTCTTTAAAACATTTAATTAGTTTCTAATTCCTTTCAAAAGCAAAGGTGAATTAATAGAACTATTAATATTTTAAGGTTAATCTTAGAAATAATAACCCAATTAAAATCCGAAATTATCAGCTTCATTTAATTTAATAATAAAAGTCCTTTGTAAAAATTGAAAATTATTATGTTCAACTATATATAAAATATTATTTTCTTTGAAAATAGTTTAATAAAATTTAACGCTTGTAACTTTATTTTTACTTTGTTATTAATAATTTTAAGAAAGGGCACTATTTAAGCAATTAAGAATTATTAATTAGCCATTTTATTCGCTTTGTTAAACTCCTATTTGCCATTCATTTCTATTTAGTTATGTTATTGCTAATAGAAATTCATTTAAATTATGATTCATGTAAAATTCAGCATATATATTTATCTTTTTTTGGCTACTTTTCTCTTTAATTTAAAACCTTTCCATTTCTTTTTTATTAAATTTTACTAACCCAGGTAAAAGAATAAGATTAACTCCAATTAAAAAACTTAAAAAGATCTATAAGAAATCAAAAGAATTAAATGCTTAATAAAACACAATACAGACAACAAGTAAAATAAAAGATATAAAAAAAAAACTTGACTAAATGTTTATTTTTTTTTCAAATTTAATCACTTATTTGGTATTTTATATACTATTGATATTAAAGAAAACTTTTAAATCTTCATCTAAATAAGTTAGAATCAAATTTTCCTAAGAAAAATTGGATAAAATAGTACTTAAGCTTGTTTTTAATAATAAAAGTTATTTTTCTTATATATTTTTTACATTTAAGAAATTATTGTCTAATTTATAATCATTGTATATGAATTTATCGCTTTCAATATTTGTGCATTATGCTAATTATTCTTCATTTGATTTTTATTCTTTTTGACTTTACATTTGTAATATTTAAAGCCATTTCTTGTGTTCTTATATTTCTTTACATTTCATGTATATATTCTGTTTTTAAATTGATAATTAGATTATATAATCATTTTCGAATGTTATTAGCTCATTTATTTAAGAATCTTATAAATTATATTATGCTGAAGATGTATTTATATTAAATTGGATGATTTTCTCCATTACTTGTACATAACGAAATACCCAATAGACTTTTTTTTTTACTAATAGATGTCCTTCTATTAATGGAATATTCATTTTTTTATATGTGAATTGATTTAATTTATGTTTTTTATTTTCTTTTTATAATATTAATTAAATATATTTTTTTTGGATACTTAAATATGATTTAATGCAAATAAATTTTTTATTTAATAATATAAATATAATTACTAATTTCTATTTTTATATTTTTCTTTTTTTATTTTCGGTCTATATATTATATCAAATATAAAAATTAACAAATATTTTTAAAAATTATATCGAGCTAACAAAAAAAAAATGAAATGAATATTTAAAATATTTTAACATCAAATAATTTTTTTTAAAAAAACATTATAATATTATCTATAAAATATTTTTAAATAAATTAAATAAAACAAATTCAATTATATATTATATTTTAAGTTTAAAAATAAAATATTGCTTATCTTTAAGGAAAAATTATAAAAAGTAACTAAATAATCAAAAAAAATAAAAAATTATATTTTTTTTTAAAGATTAAAAAACATAATATTAAAAAAAAAATATTATACACTAAAATAATAGACTCATATTTTTTCGGGAAACAATATTATCATTATGCATTTTTTTTTTACAAAAACGGATAAATTTATTATTTATTGTAGTATTGGTATCTTCAGTACTAATTTTTGGTTGAATCACGCTAAAATTATTTAAATTAATATCATATAATCCAATAAATTATTCGCTATTGAAATGTTAATACTCATTTGGTTGGAAAAGTTTATTTATATTATTCATTTAAATAAATTAAATTTTTTGTTTAAGATAATTCATGAAATACTTGATTATTGCTTTCAAAATTTTCGTATTTCCATATTAATATATTTCCCTTTGAAAGATTTATTTATATGTTTGAATTTACTACATAATCCCAATTATATGCTTAATTATTTACATATAGTATCCATTATTTTCCTTTATATGGTTGTTAAATATTTTCTATTTATACATTTAATAATCTATAGCAATAATAATGAAATCTATCATCGCTTTTATTATAAAGAGATGTAAAACATACATCATATTTATCGTTTGAAAACAATATTTTATTCATTATATCGTATATATACTCTTATTGACTTTGACTGTTGTTTTTTAATAAATTAAAATCATAATTAATATTTTTATTTAATTTGAAATTGGATCTAACACTTATATTTATACGCCAATAACATTTTTATCTTTGTTTTTAGAATTATTCAGTGGGGTACATCTCATTTATTTTTATTTTTTTAGCTTTTTTATAAATATAAAGTTATTTTTGTTTAAATTAATAGTTATATTATATTTTAAGCTTTTATAAATTACAAAAACACATTATTTTACTATACTTTTCAATTAATTTATATAAAAAAAACTATATTTAAATAATATCTATATATTTTTTATATAAAAAATTGTTAAAAATAAATTTTTTAATTACATAAAGAAGTTATTTTTTTATTTTATAAGAATTTAGTTTAAAAAAAATATTATTTTTTTGTGAATTTACGATTTAAGTCATAATTAAATAAGCATTTTTTAGTTAAAAGTAATTTTTAGAATTATGATTAAATAGAAAAATTATTAGTCTAAATTTGTAAAAGAATTAATTAGAAATTTAAAAATAAATAA